CATAATAAAATAAATATAAAAATATTTCATATAAATATATGAAATAAAAATATAAAGAAAAATATAAAATAAAAATTTTATATTTAAAAATTTTCTTTTTAAAAATTTGAAAATAGATGTGTTATCTATGTTTTCTTTTTTTTCTTTATTTTTTATATGCTTAGTGTTGTTTCTCATACAACTTACATGTTTGATTATCAATATAATTGAACATAATATAAGATAAAAACACAAACATAAAGAATTATGTAATAAAAATTATGTAATAAAAAATTTTGCATTAAAAATATTTAATTTTTAAATATTTATTAAAGAATTTATTTTTGATAGATCTAATTAAAAAATATAATTCATATTAGCTGAAATGTTAAAACAAATTCGTTAAGAAATTTTTAACGAATTCTATAACGATTTTTTTATTAAGTAACTATTTATTTTTGCATTTAAAAAAATAATTATTATCACAACGTCGTAATATAAGATGGATTTGAAGTAACAAAATTAGTAACACAATATATAATAAAAATTTATTTAATATACAGAAATTATGTGAATAAATAATATAAATAAATATTTTTTTAAAAGATATTTATTTATATTATAACTTTTTTTTTATTTGTAAAAAGACCTTACTTTAAAAACATATTTTATATATAGGATTTTATATATGTAAAATCATGGTACGTAATTTTATATATAAAAAAATGATTTTATATATAATGATAAATAAAAAAAAATAAAATTTTTTGTGACTTTGATTTTATTATAAATCAAAACTAAAAATTTATAAAGTACAAATGAGATTGCTAATTTTTTATTAAATACAAGTTAATTATTTGTAATAAGATATTTTATATATGAAACTAAATAGAAAATGTAGAACATAATCTTTTTATTTAAAAATTAGTTTTCAAAAAAATTAAATTTGAAAATTCATTGATTATATAATTTTACATAATTTCGATTTTTAATTAAAAATAAAAACAAAATTTTATTGTACATTTTAGTAAATTTATTTATTTATTATAGTTTTTTTTAATTTATTATTTATTATATTTATTATATTCTAGTTTCACATTTTTATACGAAGAATAACTTTCTATAATTTATTTGTACCTAATTAAAAATTAGCTAATTTCATTTATACTTTTTTTAAAGTTGATTTACAAATAAAAAATTAAATTTAAAAAAATTTTTTTTTTCTTTGATATTTTTTTTTTATATTTTTACATACAAAATTATTTTTTACTAGATTATACAATTATTTTTGATATATTATGTATGCATGTTTATAGGCATATTTAATATAATTAAAATTTTTTTAATTGTTGTTTTTGCATAAACAAACATAAAATGTGATAAGAAACTTTTGCATGTCTTTTGCATTATTTGATTTATTTTTGACGAAAAATTATATTTTTTTAAATAAAAATATTCCTTTTTTATTTCTCCAAGTTTTATAAATATATTATATTGTATTTTATTTTCTACATTTATAGATTATGAAAATTTCGGCATCATATATATCAGTACTTCTCGCAGTGTATTAAAAAATATAATTATATCGTAGTAAAATTATCATATAGTTTATATTAACTAAAAATAGAATCATTGATAATATAAATGAATATAATATTATTATAATTTATTAAATAATTGTATAATTATATATAATGACAATGTTATTGTTGAAGTAATAAAAATATACAATTATAATAATATAATATAATAATAAAAAAATATAATTGTATGATAACAATATACATATAAAGACAATGCCTAAATATTTTATTAATAAAAATATATAAATATCTTTAATAAAAAGAGGTTAAATTTGTATTAAATTCATTATTTAAAATTTTGGTATGATATAAATTTAAGGTATGTATAATGTTTTCCTCTCTATAATATTAAGAATCAAATTTTTATTTTATTACTTCATTATTATTTTATTAATTTCAAGTAAAGTTCATACAAGAATATATTTGAATGAAGGCTACAAAAAGGAATTCATATATATAACAAAATAAAACAAAAATAAAAAAATTGTTTAATTTTTATTTCTTAGTTATTTAGTTATTCTTTATTATTGACAATTAAAAATCAAGCTGAATGTCATGATATATTTGGAGTCATATTTTCATACACAAAAGAATGTAAGATTGTCAACAGAAAATATGGTGATTCTCAAAATCTCATATAAATAGTATATAAAGTAAGTAATAGATATAATTACATATAAATAGATATAATTATATACATTTAAGCAGTAAGTAAGTATTGAATGATACGTTGTTTCAGTATTCAATATTTATGCAACTGCAATTTTTGAAATTCAATTTAATTAAAAACGAAAATAATTTATAACTAAATTATGCAATAATCATTATATATAAATCATATATCTATCATTAAATCTTTTTATCCATAATCTTCGCTTTTATTTATGAAATTATTTGAAATTCAATAACAGGATGCATTTGTTTAAAATATAAATATACAAAAATCTAGATTTTAACTATATAAAACTCGAAATAGTATGATAAAAAAAGCAACATAAATCTAAAAAATATAGATTAATATTCTTTTATTAAAACTTAATTTTGGAAAAAATTGAGTTTTTTATGTATTCTGCTAAATTTAAATTCAATTCGATTTTCGCAATCTTTAAATTGTTTTTGAAATTTGAAATTTTTCGGTATAAATAATATTTTATGAATGTTCTAAATCTTTCATAAATATATATTATAATTCGATACTTTTAGATGAAATTATTTATAATTAAACAATTATTTATAAGAAACAAATATAATTAAAAAATTTCTAACAATCTATTTGATGAAATGAGAAAAAAATGATGCATTGCAACCTAATTTTTAGATTGAATCTATTAATACAGATCATTATTAACATTTGAATTGATTTATAAAACTGTTTCATAAAACAAGAAAAAATTGTTTGTAATCATACAATAAGCGTTTCCATATTTTACAAAAAAGCATGCAATTTATACTTTTAATTTGGCTTTATTTGATTATAATTATTTAGATGATTTCAAGTAAATCATTTAACAATTATATAATTTCAAATATTAGAAAAAATATAATAAAATAACTTGATTATTGATGATTTGATTATTATCAAAATGCTATTTTTTTTTTTAAATTTTTTTAAAGAAATCATAAAATAATCATCAAAAAATGAAGATTATTTCAAAATATAAAAATTATTTCATTATAATTTCATTACAAATGAAGTCAATTTAATTAAAATAAATATTCTTCAAATTTTTAATTTTTTTAGAAATACTTTCAGAATGCAATTGAATTTTAAAAAAAGTTTTCAATATAATTCGATTCAATATTTTCAAGTTTTTACATATTTTTTTAATAATTATTTCCAAATGATTTATTGTTTGATCATATCATATTGTTCAATTAAAAGTATTCAAAAAATAAATGTAATTAAAGCATTAAATGTTTTTTAAATTTATGAAAAAGAATAATTTCTTATATTTACAGATAAATATTTATTGCAAATTATAATACACTTTTTTTCATTAAAAATATCATTGATAATGAATTAAATAATTGTTCTGAGATTGTTGATGCCTCTTCTTGGGAAGTAGCATTAAATGCTGAATTGATGAATACAATTATTACTTTTTCATATATTTATATTTCTTTTCTCGATAGTTTCATCATGAATTGAATATTTTATTATCTGATCGTTTTGTTATCTAAATATTTTATTATTCTTAAAATATATTTTATATAATGATGTAATTGATCTAAGAGAACGAATGTTTCTTCCATTTTAATAAAATGAAATAAACATTTTTTTATTATTTGTTGACTTAAACATTATATTATACATATATTATTGGAATATATAAAGTGTAAATATTTTATGTATAAATATTTACATTGTTTATTTCCTAGTAAGATAAAATTTATTTATAATGGTTCAATATAAAATTAATATTAAAGATTATTTACAGAAGATATAATTATTTCAAAATCATTGAAATCAGTGAAATGTATCTTTTCTTAAAATAACTATTGAATTGATAATTTAAATAATAAAAATAAAAAATTAATAATAATGAAAATATAACAAAAAAAGAATTAAAAATTAAAAAAAACTACCTTTAATAAAAAAAAAATTAAATTTTGCAGCATTATTAAGCTTATCAATTTAAATTTGACATTCTTCGAATTGTTATGTGTTCTTTAATATGTGTTAATTTTTACAT